CTAAGACTTTGAGGTTGCTGTGAGCTACAATGTCACGACACTCTACCAAAGGTGACAAAGTGAGATTCTGTCTCCAAAATTAAAATAAAAAAAATTAAGTATTTTAGATATTTATTTTGGGATAATTAAGTAGCATGTCAACCACAGCTTTGTTTCTTCTGGAATTCATTGACCAATTCCACAAATGTTATATATACAGTCATTGGGGATACAAAATTAGTGAGACTGAATCTGTCCTTTAGGGGAGATAGTCAAGTAAATAATGTAAGCCAGCTTGAGATGGTAGCAGGAATAAGACAGAATGGGGCCGCCAAGAAGGAAGGGCTCAAATTGCTCTGGGCAAGGGCAGATCAGAGGAGATTACATCTTGGAGGAGGTACTTGACTGGACCTTATAGACGAAAGAGGCATGGGAAGGCATTTCTGGCAGAGTTAGCATAGAGATGAGAGACAGTATGGTGCCTTCAGGGACCACGTAGGTTATGCAATAAATATTTTATCCTTTAACCTAAAGGCAATGGGGAGGCCTTTGAGGATTTTATTTTGTTTTAAAATCTACCTTTTTTTTGATGACAAAAGGAAAATGCTCATATGCTGATTATGAAAAGCACTTAACACATCGCAGAAATACATACGTACATGGAAAGTTATAATTTCCAACATTTTCTTCCTTTATCCCCTGAGATAATTATACAACTAAGAATTTAGAATATATTCCTCTAGCATTCTTTCTATGCACATACTAATAAATATATGGTAATTATTATTAATTACCATATAGTAGTGTGTAGTTTAATTATTATTAAATACCATATAGCAGTGTGTTGGCCGGGGCCGGGTTTGAATCAGCCACCTCCAGTATTTGGGGCCGGTGCCCTACTCCTTGAGCCACAGGCACAGCCCTAATTATTATTATTTATAAGAGAGAAATCTTTGGCTCAGTGCCCATAGCACAGTAGTTATGGCACTGGCTATATGCACCAGGGGTGGAGCGTTTGAACCTGGCCTAAGCCAGCTAAGCAATAATGGCAAATGCAACAAAAAAATAGCTGGCCATTGTGATGGGTGCCTGTAGTCCCAGTACTTGGGAGGCTGAGGCAAGAGAATAGCTTAAGTCCAAGAGTTTGAGGTTGCTGTGAGCTGTGATGCCATGGCACTCTATGGAGGGTGACATAGTGAGACTCTAAAAAAAGAGAGAAGAATCTTTTATGTGTGTTTATAAAAATATCTTTTAATGATTTATTACTGAAGTTTTAAAACCAGGATATTAAGCTTGGAGGGAAAACTGGAGGGGCCAAGGCTGGAGGAAAGGAGATAATCTCCATCTAACAGATACAGTTGAATTTCTGTACCTGTACACACTCGAGAGCAGCTATGTCCCATGATGTCTATTCCTCTTTCCTTCTAACTAATTTAATCGGTGTTGGTTCCACTTATCTAGCATTTTCTAGGTACTACCTTTTACCATTAACTATGATATTACTTAATACATATCTAACATGCTAAGATTTGCAAGGACCTTTCATAAATATCATGTCTTATTTTTCACAATAATATTCTTGGAATTATACTTATTTTCAGAAAACTGAGATTTAGGGAAGTAGCCCTTGGTAAGCCACTGGAAGTTTTTGAATAGGGGAGTGACATGAGCAGAACTGTGATTTAGAAGATTAATGTCCATTACAGTATACAGATAGTGGGCATGGAGACCAGAGGCAGGTAGACCAGTTATCTTCCTGCTATTGTCATAATGTATTCTAGGCTGTAAGGATCCAAATTAGGAGGGCACATTGAGAGTAGAAGAGAGGTTTTCAACCTTTTTTCCTTCACCAAGAAATGTATCCAAGGAACATAACACAACCCTAGCCATTATACAATGCTGCCCTCATTCCAAATCTGATACAGGAACACTGGAGAGCTGACTCTACATAATTTAGACTTTGTGGAGGTCAAGGAGTGAGACTAATAACACAGTGAATTGCACAAGTTCAAAACTGGGCAGTCATTACTACTTTTTCTACTGTGCCCTCTACATTCATTTGACCAACAAGTCATGCTGGATTTATCTTTTTTTTTAAAAAAATGTATCTTCTTCTTCTTCTTCTTTTTTAGAGACAGAGTTTCACTTTGTTGCCCTTGGTAGAGTGCGGTGTCATCACAGTTCACAGCAACCTCCAGCTCTTGGGCTTAGGCGATTCTCTTACCTCAGCCTCCGAAGTAGCTGGGACTACAAGCGCCCGTCACAACGCCCAGCTATTTCTCTGTTGCAGTTTGGCAGGGGCTGGGTTCAAACCTGCCACAGATATATATATATATTTTCTCTTGCCTCAGACTCCCAGGTAGCTGGGACTACGGGTGTCTGCCACAAAGCCTGGCTATTTTTACTTTTTAATTTTTTTTGCAGTTTTTGGCTGAGGCTGGGTTTGAACCTGCTACCTCCAGTATATGGCTCCAGTGCCCTACTCCTTTGAGCCACAGGCACTGCCTAGCCTGGCTATTTTTAGAGACAGGGTCTGCTCTTGCTCAGGCTGGTTTTGAACCTGTGAGCCCAGGCAATCTTCCGAGTTCAGGGGATCCACCTGCCTCAGCTTTCCAGAGTGCTAGGATTACAGGCGTGAGCCACTGAGCCCAGCCACAACCATGAAATTCTTAAAGGCAGTGCCAAAATAACCCCACAAAAACAATAAACCACAAAAACTGGGGGTTGAAGAGAATGGTTGATTAATGGGTACAAATATACAGTATGATAGAAGAAAGAAGACCTAGTGTTTGGTAGATCAGTAGGGTGACTATAGCTTATAATAATCTATTGAATACTTCAAAATAGAAGAGTATAATTTGAATGTTTCTAGCACAAAGAAAATACAATTATTTAAGGTGATGCATAGTCCAATTACACTGATTTGATCTTCATAAATTGGATAAATGTATTAAATTGTCACACGTACCCTGAAAATAAGAACATCTATTATGAATACACAAAACAAAGAAAAAAAACCCCTAATATCTCTGGTGCCTAGCATATAGTAAGGCTCAATGAATGTTTGAGAAAGGCAAATGACCTTGTTATTGTTTGTTCCAACTGTCAGGATAAATGCTACATCCACTGCATTCTTACTATGTGTCAGGCATTTGGGTAAAAAGATAAACAGTTTCTGTTCTGAAGGTGCTCAGATAACAACAAGGGGCAATATAATCTAGTGAGTAAGAGGAAAACTAATTGGGTGATCTTGAATCAATTATTTATTATCCCCGAGTCTCAGTCTTCTTATCTGTAAAATAAGGCAAATAATGTATTTTATTTTATTTTATTTTTTTTTTTGAGACAGAGCCTCAAGCTATCCCCCTGGGTAGAGTGCCATGGCATCACGCTCACAGCAACCTCCAACTCCTGGGCTCAAGCGAGTCTCCTGCCTCAGCCTCCCAAGTAGCTGGGACTACAGGCGCCTGCCACAACGCCCAGCCATTTTTTTGGTTGCAGCCGTCATTGTTGTTTGGCAGGCTCGGGGTGGGGATTTGAACCCGCCACCTTAGTTGTATGTGGCTGGCGCCTTAGCCGCTTGAGCCACAGGCGCCGAGCCAAATAATGTATTTTAATCCTTATAAGAATTAGTAAAATAAACTACAATGCAATGTGATCTTACCAGTTCTAGCAAAGATTAAAATAAATAGTTGTATTTAAAGCCGTTTACACAATAACAGGAATCTTTATAAAGATGAGTCAAGCACAAGAATAACCATAATTATTGGGGAAATTTTTAGGAACCATTGGGCATCTTAAGAGTTTCACAGAAAATGTGATTATGTACCTTGAGAACAAGCCAGGAAAGCTTTAAGGTCGAAGATTTAGAAGTCTTTTAAAGCCTTAAAAAACAAGGAGTCCTAGACCTGGGGCCAAGGAATTACTGTATCAAAAGTTGGAGAATCTGACTACACATCAGTATCACTTGGGGAAACTTCAAGAGCAAATCAGTATCCAGGTCCTACTCCAAAACTAATAGGGATTTCTAGGAGTAGATCCCAAACCTGAGTGTGACTTTCCATTTCCTCGAATGACTCCTGTGCAGCAAGGGTCAAGAACCACTGCAATTTTAAACCAATGAGGGCAAGATGGGCAAACGTTTCCTATTCCGTGGTTGCAATGGGATTCCTTGGCTTCTTTGAATTTCATGTGAGATTTTCCAAGTTCTAAAATGTTGGCATTAAAGTGTTTAAAAAACACTTTGGGATGGTTGGTGCGTGTGGCTTAGTAAGTAGGGCACCGGCCCCATATATGGAGGGGGGCGGGTTCGAACCTGACCCGGGCCAAATTGCAACAACAACAACAACAACAACAACAAATAAAATAGCTGGGCGTTGTGATGGGTGCCTGTAGTCCCAGCTACTCGGGAGGCTGAGGCAAGAGAATTGCCTAACCCCAGGAGTTGGAGGTTACTGTGAGCTGTGACACCAAGGGCAATAAAGTGAGACTCTGTCTCTAAAAAAAAAAAAAAAAAAAAATTAGGAGGGGAAGAGTGTCAAAGAAAACACAGACAGAGGCCCTACTGGACGTCAGTTCATAACCTTCCTTGCAGTTCAATCTCTAGTTTGCAGAAACAAACTAATTTTGATTAGCTAAATAACTTGTCTGAGATTATACAGCAAGTGAGAGTAAAAGTCGGGACTCAAACGCAGTTTTTAAATTTAATTAACGTTCCCTCTGTGTCAAAGAATGCACACTCAGAAATGGGCTTCAAAAAATGAGTAAGACTGGAGGAAGAGATAGGGCGTTCCCGACAGAAGGAAGCCCCAAACGGCTCTTCACATGACAGACAGGTGGACCCAAAAATGAGAAGAGGAAAGCGCATTGCGGGTGACCCAGGTAAACCAGACACGCAAGCGCCTTCCACTGGCGACGCCGCAGTGGAGTGGTGCGAGTTAAGGGCGATGAATTACGACCTCTGCTGGCGACACTCACGACTCCTGCCGTAAAGGCCTACTGTGGCGCGTGCGCACTTTCTTTTTCTTTAGGCTTTCCGAAGCGGTTACTTCTGTGGGGGGGTCTTCGCTGTGCCGCCCGGCAGTCACCATGGTGAAGCTGAGCAAAGAGGCCAAGCAGAGGTTGCAGCAGCTCTTCAAGGGCGGCCAGTTTGCCATCCGCTGGGGCTTTATTCCTCTCGTGATTTATCTGGGTCAGTGGGAGAAGAAACTGGGGAGAGACTGGAGGGAAGGTGGTGGTGGAGACTGCGACTCCATTTTTGGCCTTCGGGGCGGGAGAGAGAAGCGGGAGATTCTCTTGTGCTTGTTTTTTGAGACTGGTCGAGTGAGACCAGTCTAACCTGAGTTCGAGTTCCCCTTCTATCCGTTTCTAGTTGAGCGGTCTTAAACAAGTCACAATGTCCTTTCTGTTTTATTTTTACATTTGTAAGGTAGAGGTAAGACCTATTTTTCGCGATTGTGAGGGTTGGATGACCCGATGTATGTGAAAGCGACTATTTGGTAGTAGGTGAATTTGCAGGGTGCTTCTCCTCACCTCTTTGGGTGGGCCTAACAAAAGATCTCTGTACTGAGAATTTAGGCAACTCTTGGATATGCTACTGCCACGAAACGTTATGGTAATGGTCACTGGATGCCTATGCTTTCTCAACTGTACAGTGAAAGGTTGATTATTATTATTGACCCCATTTTACAGATGAGGAAACAAAGCCATAGAGAAGTTTTGTTTGTGCCTAAGGCCACAGCTGTACCAAGGGAGGGCACTATGCGCTTAGGCAGTGAAGCATGAGACCCCGTAGTCTTAACCACTAAGCTGTATTGCAAATTTATAAGTGCTCAGGCAAATATTTTATCTGGGGCTGCACACTAGGAGCTTATTCTAGTTCTAACCCTGGGTAGTTTTTTGTTTTTAATCTTACTGCCCTTCTCAGGGGGTATGATGAAAAGGAAAGAGCGCACTTTTTAGCCCAGCTGTGTGAGCATGTTATAGTTTGACATACCTTTCTTTCTTTCTTTCTTTCTTTTTTTTTTTGAGACAAACTCTCACTGTGCCGCCCTCGGTAGAGTGCCGTGGCGGTACAGCGTCACAGCTCACGGCTACCTCCAATTCTTGGGCTGAAGAAATTCTCTTGCCTCAGCCTCCCGAGTAGCTGGGACTACAGCGCCTGCCACGACGCCCAGCTATTTTTTGGTTGCAGTTGTCGTTGTTGTTTAGCAGGCCTGGCCGGGGTTCCAATCTGCCAGCCTTGGTATACGTGGCCGGCGCTCTACTCACTGAGCTACGGGCGCCACCATATAGTTTGACATTTCTAAAACTGAATTTTACATGTTAAAATCCTGTGATTTTTTTTTTAATAACAAGGTGCTGCTTTCTATTTGTTTGAGGTGTCATGCATTGTATAAAATAAAGTACACTCACTCTAGTCTTTTTTTTTTTTGTAGAGACAGTCTCACTTTATCACCCTGGGCAGAGGGTCATGGCATCACACAGCTTACGGCAACCTCCAACTCCTGGGCTTAGGCGATTCTCTTGCCTCAGCCTCCCGAGTAGCTGGGACTATAGGCGCCCGCCACAACGCCCAGCTATTTTTCTGTTGCAGTTTGGCCAGGGCCCGGTTTGAACCTGCCACCCTTACTATATGGGGCCAGCGCCCTACCCACTGAGCCGCAGGTGCAGTCCAACACACTAGTCTTGACAGACCTTTTCATTATGCTTGATACTCTCCAGGCAACTGTGGTTCCTGTTTCCTTGTGGGTTACAAACCAGCTGTGACAACCTAGAGATACTTTAGTATAAGACTTAAAAAAATTATTTTCAGTCCTTATTCTGAGTGCAATTTTTAAAAAAGCATTACTTTTCTGGATTTTAGTTACTTTGTATAGGTAGCAAGTATTAGAACAAATAATTATGATAGCCTGCTTTTATGGCCTGCATTTTCCCTTCTTTTTCCCTCTACACACACGTGCCCCAGCGCCCGCCGCCCCCCTCCCCCCCAGCTTCCAGTTGAATAATTCAAAGGCCCAGTTTGGCTAGGCCAACACTGGGAGTGGCTCTCCTTTTTGCTTTGTGCACCTTTTTCATTGTGTGTGCAGGGTCCTATTTTTGCCTGCTTTCGATCTTTGTCAAGGTGATTTCTTTACTGTTCTTCAAGTATTTTTTTTAATCTGTCTTTCCCCCTTCCCTTTTTGAGATTCCTCTTATACTACTAAAGAGCCAACTGATTGCTGCAATCTGTGTGCCAAGTAAGAGGCATTGGTCTGAAGAGTGGATAATGCTTTCCTTTTCCACACTAGAGTTTTACTTTCCTTTTTTTCCCCAGCACACTGGCTAGATTCCCTTCCTCAGACTACCATTGTAGTACCATTTCACTCTAGCATCCATTCAAAAATTTGAGATTGATACTATATCTACCTTTCTAATACTTTGTTTATTATCTTTTTTATACTTAGTATACTTAGTTTTACTCTGTATACTTAGTTTTATATCTGAACCAGTTCCTATGTTGTTTTACTTCCTTTACCTGAGCTGTTACTAAAACTTATAACTACAGATTGAATTTGTGTAATTTAAGTTGAAACATAGCTTTTAGGGTTTCAGGGAGTATACTGTTAGAATTCTGTTTCCCTAAACTCAGTGTTCATGTTTTGTAAAGCAGTCTGTTACCTTTGTAGATGTTGATGTTATCTGGCCCTTTTTTGCATGACAGTTGGAGGTTGAGGAACTAAAGCAAAATTTGATACCTTGGTAAGCTATGACTAGAGTAATAAACTGTCCTTTGTCTCTGAGCTTGACTCAGAATATTATCTTCTATCAACATCTGTGAAATGGGCAAGCTACTTTGTTGTCTTGAAAATAGGGTAAAATTTCAAGACCCTTATAGTTTTTGACATTTTTATTTTAATCCACTATTTCAGCAAATTAGCATATATGTCATCAAGTTAATTTATAAATACTTTTTTTTTTTTTGAGACAGAGCCTTAAGCTGTCCCCTTGGGTAGAGTGCTTTGGCATCACAGCTCACAGCAACCTCCAACTCCTGGGCTCAACCGAGTCTCCCAAGTAGCTGGGACCACAGGCGCCCACCACAACGCCTGGCTATTTTTTTTT